TTTACTTTCTAAATACTTTTCTCTATAATTCATTTTTGAAAAGATTTATCTATTTTAAATTTTTAATTTGTAAATTTTCTGTATATGAGTGCCTTGCTTGCATGAATGTATGCATACCCACTACATGCACACCTGGATTTGTAAATTTTCTGTATATGAGTGCCTTGCTTGCATGAATGTATGCATACCCACTACATGCACACCTGGATTTGTAAATTTTCTGTATATGGGTGCCTTGCTTGCATGAATGTATGCATACCCACTACATGCACACCTGGCTCCCACAGAAGCCAGAAGAAGGCATCAGATTCTCCTGGAACTGGGGTTACAGATCGTTGTGAATCTCCATCTGGATATCAGAAACTAAACCCAGGTCCTCTGCAAGAGCAGCAAGTATATTTAATCATGGAGTCACCTCTCCTGCCCTCTATAATTCTTTTAAAAAAAGAAACAAATGGGTTATCTCTAAATGTATCTCTGGCTGTCCTGGAACTTGCTGTGGAGACCAGGCTGGTCTTGAACTCACAGAGATCCACCTGCTGCTGTTTCCCAGGTGCTGGGATTAAAAGCGTGGCCCTCCACTCAACTCCTCTTTATTATACATTTCTTCATTTCTTTCACAGTAAATTGTAATTATTTACTTTTTTGTTTCATTGATTTAACTTGTCCTTGAATATTTTCAGATGCTTCAACATTCAATAATAAGTTCCCTAACTTGTTTTAAAAGCATCTTCCTTTGCCCCAAATAATCTTTTTTTTTTTTTTTTTTTTTTTTTGTTTGTTTTTTTGAGACAGGGTTTCTCTGTGTAGCTTTGAGCCTTTCCTGGAACTCGCTTTGGAGACCAGGCTGGCCTCGAACTCACAGAGATCCGCCTGGCTCTGCCTCCCGAGCGCTGGGATTAAAGGCGTGCGCCACCACCGCCCGGCATCCCCAAATAATCTTAACTAAAGAATATTTAAATTCTCTCACCAAGAAGCTGAAAGTCACTAACATATTGTTATAGTCTGCACTATGATTCATCAGACCTACATGCTTCCCTTAATTGCTAACACCTTTTGGCCAACAAAATACTGTGCTAGGTAATGGAAGAAGTGCAAGGATAAGAAAATTAAATTATAACCTCAGGCAGGGGATATGATGTTAGTCTAACATGGGTAAAGCAGGGCTTGATCTCAGCACCACAATGTGTATGCGTACACATATATTTCTTCCTTTAAAGGTTTTGAATGATTTAAGTGTGAATGTGACAAGAAAGGGGTATTTCAAATAGGATGAGGTCAAGAACCATACCGTACTGTCTATGCAAAAATGCATGTTTTATCAAGGAGGTAGTGGTAGGAACTGGTAATGCAGCCAGCCCTCATTTTCAGGCAGTTAGTCAGGTTACAGAGCCCAGAGAAATAGTCATCTATGCCGTGGTGGAACCAGTAGTCACCTCCACCAACACTGAGGTTTTACAGCGAACAACCTAACTGGTGAGCTTAAAGAGCTAAAATCTAAACGCCCTGACTCATCCAAACACTGGCTGACCACTCTCCTCTTCTTACTTGCTGGTTCCTCACCCCCACATGGAACTTACAGTGGGCTTTCCTGAGCTGTACACGCCTGCTCATCTGGTCAGAATTCCCCACTTACATACAAATTAACTATCTAGATTCAGCCTGGCCTAATACCTAATTTGCATACTGATAGGACCAAATTGGCCCGTTCCCAGGACACAAACATCCTCTGCTCCAAAACCATTATTTGGCAACTCATTAGAGAGCTGTTTCTTTCCTTCCAATAAACTCTGCTGCCTGCCCTTCTTGTACTGTCCTCGCGCCTCATTCTTCTTTATCGTGAGACAGAAAACTTGGCTCTGACTCAAGAAACCAGTAACACTAGATACTGTCATCTGCAAGACGTACCATTATTTTGTATTCCACTAAAGAAAAATGCTGCTGAAAGTATTAATAAATGTTCATTAATTATGAAAAATTGTTAAAAATAAATGAGAGATGCTCCCTAGTTTCAGAGATGTTAAAGTTTGTGAGGAAGGAGGGGAAAAAAAGGTGGATTGGGAGGAAAAGTAGAGACAAAAGAAAAAGAAAATTACCATTCTATCAATAACACTAACTGAGTTCTCCAGAAACCACAGGACATGAAGACATGGGTCACTGGTTATTCCTTTAAGCTTCATCGGCATGAGGAGGAGAAGCCACAGAGGTGCTGTCCCCCAGCAATTGCTACTTACTGTCTTCATTTGCCTGCTCACCCTGGCTCGTTCCTTTAGCTTTAGACTGTCTACACCACCGTTCTTTAGATGGATCTCTGCTGTGGGATGTCTTTCTGTACGCTGTGAATATGTGTTCTCTGATTGGTTGATAAATAAAACACTGATTGGCCAGTAGCCAGGGAGGAAGTATAGGTGGGGTGAGCAGATGAGGAGAATGCTAGGAAGAAGAAGGGCCGAGTCAGGAGTCGCCAGCCAGACACAGAGGAAGCAAGATGACAAGTCAGAACTGAGAAAAGGTACCAAGCCACGTGGCTAAACATAGATAAGAATTATGGGTTAATTTAAATGTAAGAGCTAGTCAGTAATAAGCCTGAGCTAATGGCTGAGCAGTTATAATTAATATAAGCTTCTGAGTGGCCACGGGACTGTGGGGGCTTGGCAGGACCAGGGAAACCTTCCGACTACAGATCTCTTCTTGAACATAGTAGATAGCTGAATCTTGTTTTGTAGTTCAAATTGACTATGACAGAAAGACATGCATATGTAAACACACACATACACACTTTCAAAACTTAAAAACACACATGGACTTAGAGACTACAGATCATAGCTTATGACAGAAAGATAAAGACAATTATAACAGAAACTTTGCACTTGAAGATGCACATAATTAATAATAAAAAGACTCACATGCTGGGCCACTTGTAAATTAGACTAAAAAAATAAAACTAGGATGCCTCTGCCTAGCATGGTTTGACCAGCACCACAGAAGAAAGGAAAGGAGGGGAAAGAAATAGAAAAAAAAAAACTTTTAAAAAATAGATGAAAATAGCATTCCTAGTAACACTAGGCTAGATTTATCCAATTTTCTCATTCTAAAACCATGTAATTACCAAAATTATTATTATTATTTTAAATCTTAAGAGTATTGGAGGCTGGGTGGCAGTGACACATGCCTTTAATCCCAGCACTCAGGAGGCAGAGCCAGGCAGATCTCTGTGAGTTCGAGGCCAGCCTGGTCTACAGAGCGAGATCCAGGATAGGCACCAAAACTACACAGAGAAACCCTGTCTCAAAAACACAAAACAAAACAAAATAAAAAAAAAACAAACAACAACAACAACAACAAAAAAAAAAACAGTATTGGAGAGCTGACAAGATGGAACAGGACTGCTAGATAAAAACCCCAGAGGGGGTGGGGGGGGGGGGCAGATGGCTCAGCAGTTAAGAGTAGTTAAGCACTAGCTGCTCTTCAGAGAACCCAGGTTCAGTTCTCAGGACCCACATGGTGACTTACAACTATCCCTAACTCCAGTTCCAGGGGACCTGATGCTTCTTCTGATTTCCAAGTGCTCCTGTATGAATACTGTGAACACACATACCCTCAGGCATATATACATATACACAGAATAAAATAAAAAAAAAATATTTTTTTTTAGCATTTATTTATTCACTATGTATACAGTGTTCTGCCTGCACGTATCCCTGCTTTCCAGAAGAGGGCATCAGATCTCATTATAGATGGTTGTGAGCCACCATGTAGGTGCTGGGAATTGAACTCTAGCCCTCTGGAAGAACAGTCAGTGCTCTTAACCTCTGAGCCATCTCCCCAGCCCTGAGAAAATATTTTTAAGATTCATGGGAAGGGACCAGGCAGTGGTAGCATATGCCTTTAATCCCAGCACTTGGGAGGCAGAGGCAAGCAGATCTCTGTGAGTTCAAGGTCAGCCTGGTCTACAGAGAGAGTTCTAGAACAGGCTCTTAAGCTACACAGAGAGAGAAACCCTGTGTTGAAAAAACAACAAAATCATGGGAGGGCATGGATATGACCAAAATACTTTGTTGATATTCCATGAGAATTCCACATATGGAATTCTCTACAGACACACACACACACACACACACACACACACACACACACACACACACACACACACACACACACACTACATACACACGCGCACGCAAACGCACGAACATAGTCTTAAAATGGGAACCATGTCTCACAGACACCCTTCTGCATGAACTTGGGGCTCTGCCATGCCTTCCCCGCCATTATGGCCTCAGACTCACTAATGATGTGAGTCCAAACAATCTTCTCTTAGGTTGTTTCAGTCAGGTGTTGTCATCACTGTGACTACGTAAGATTCTGGTAGGTGTCAGACCTGTAAACAGCTACCCAACATGCTTCACAACAGATCTGAATTTCATCAAATTAGTGATTTTCCTCTAGGTCTAATTTATTCCAGTTTAATTTTGATTTAAGTATATTGTAGTCTAAACTGTCATTTCCTATTTGGTAATTTACTAGCTGCTAAAAGATGAAAATACCTAGTTGACATTTATTAAATGCTTACTATGTGCCAGGCATATAGTAAGACAAGTGCAGACAAGTAGAAAAGTGTCTTACGTGTGTAAAATGACCTGTATTCACAGCAATCCCACCACAGCACTACCAGTATTTTACAGAAAGGGAAACTCACCTATAAGGAGTTAAGTAACTCCCAATGTCACACACGTAAGCACAGAAGCTTAAAAATCTCTACCCATGTTATCTGTCTTCAAAACCCAAGCCCTCAGCTACTATGCTATATTACTTTTCACAATACTTAAAAGAAAAATGAAAAATGTAGGAAGGACAAAAACCTCACCATTAAAAATTATCCAAAGGAGTGAAGGAATACGTAAGCAATATTAATACCAATATAATTCATCATAGGTTGGCACATGACAGCTATTTCAAAGTGTCTTAGCCTTGATTAGTAGTTTTGAAGTTGGACAGACCTGGCTCTGAATCTTGGCTGTGCCTTTTACAAGCTGTGTGACTTTGGACAAATTTCGTAACTTCACCAAGTGTCAGTTTCCTCATCTGCAAAATGAGAATAATAAATGTCTTACACCACTGTTCTTAGTGACACAGGTACAAAATAAAAAGAGGTTCTCAATTGTCAGGAACGGCTCAACTGTAGTGAGAGAACAAAGATCATCACTCTGAATCACTGGGCAGCAGCTTCAGATCCACACATGGATTGAAAACACAACAAATAAACCCACAAATACAAGCCAAATGCCTAGAGATAAGTCACTCAGATTTCTGTTGTTTGTGTTTCTGCAGCATCAGGGACAGACTCAGGGCTTTGCAGGCCTATGCTAGTCCACAGCTGAGACAGACACCGAGCCCGATCACTGGATCCTGGCAATGAAACAGAAAAGGGAAGATCAAGGGACCAAGGGACACAAAAGAGGAAGGTCTGTGTCAAAAAGGATCAATTCCTGGCACTTTCAGGAAGGAATTTTAATAGAAGAAAAACAGAAAGAGTAGAAAATGGACTCAGAGTTGTGGAATGCAAGGGAAACCTACTCAAAATGACAGGGATCTCCATGATTAATCTTAAAGTCTTACCCATTTTTTTTTCCTTTTTCATATCAACTAAGGCAAAAAAAAAAAAATTCATTTTCTTGTAGCAAACAGGAGCTTTGCTGTGTGTTAAAAAGTCACTTATAATTTGATTTTCTTCCAGTGCCCCCTGGTATGTATGTCCAGTAAAGGATAAATATTATAGAGTTATAGTTAAGAACAAGGATTAGCCGGGCGGTGGTGGCGCACGCCTTTAATCCCAGCACTCGGGAGGCAGAGCCAGGCGGATCTCTGTGAGTTCGAGGCCAGCCTGGGCTACCAAGTGAGTTCCAGGAAAGGCGCAAAGCTACACAGAGAAACCCTGTCTCGAAAAACCAAAAAAAAAAAAAAAGAACAAGGATTAGATTTTCACACATGAAACAATGGTGAAAGGAAATTTGTTTTGTAAAATCTGGTTTAGATTCATTTATTTATTTTTTTTTTAAATTTATTTATTTATTATATATACAGTGCACATATTCCTGCAGGCCAGAAGAGGGCACCAGATCTCATTACAGATGGTTGTGAGCCACCATGTGGTTGCTGGGAATTGAACTCAGGACCTTTGGAAGAGCAAGCAGTGCTCTTAACCTCTGAGCCATCTCTCCAGCCCCTAGATTCATTTATTTTATTCTATGTGTATGAGTGTTTTACCTGTATGTGTATGTGCACCACATGCATGCCTGGTGCTTGTAGAGGTCAAAAGAGGGCATCAGATCTCCTAGAACTGGAGTTATGGACGGCTAAGAGCCAAACTCAGGTCCTCTGCAAGAGCAGGCAGTGCTCTTGACCACCAAGGCATCTCTCCAGCCCCAGGAATCTGTTCTTAAAAAATATTTTATTAATGATCAGTGTGTGTGTTCATATGAGGTGTGTGAGCATATGTGCCATTCTGTGTGTGGAAGTCAAGGGACAACTTTATGGAATCAGTTCTCTCTTCCACCTTTACGTGGGTTCTAGTAATTGAACTTGGGTCAGATGAACAGGTTTGTGCAACAGGTATCTTCACCTACTGAACTATCTCGCCAGCACCAAAATGGAAATCTGTACATTGAAGGTCTCTGGTTTGTGAGAGCTATTATGCATGCAAATTAAGCTATAAAATGGTTTTCAAGACTAAGAACAATTCAGATCAAATAGTTATGGAACATCTACTATGTATAATATAACTACAATATTCAGTCTCAGGAGTATAGAAGAACAGTGATATCATCTCCAATCCCCAAGTTCTCACAATCCAGAAAATACATAAAAATAAAAACCTATATACATTAAAATGCATTTAGAAAGAAACACATTGCTACTTGCTTTAAAAGGAAATTGAGCCGGGCAGTGGTGGCGCACGCCTTTAATCCCAGCACTCGGGAGGCAGAGCCAGGAGGATCTCTGTGAGTTTGAGGCCAGCCTGGTCTCCAAAGCGAGTTCCAGGAAAGGCGCAAAGTTACACAGAGAAACCCTGTCTCGAAAAACCAAAAAAAAAAAAAAAAAAAAAAGGAAGTTGAGATTACTGAGTTAGAGAAAAATGAAGAAAGGTTTCTTGAAAGATAAAAAACACTGAAAAGTGGAACTCTAACAACCCTAACTTCTGAGTATATAGATAAATTAAATAAAATCATTATCCTTTTGTCAACAAGGTGCATACTGACTGTTGGTTACTATTAACTATGAGAAAAGTAGAAAATAAAAATGTACTAAATAAATCTAAGGATATTTTTGAAAAGGAGATCGACAACAATAACAATATTGTTAAATTTCCATTGACCTCAACTACCTTAAAATTTTATATTAAGAAACGTGAAAGACTAACAGAAAATACATTTGAAGTAACAGTCTATTCATTCACTTTTACTACTTTACAAACCACTTGAAAAAAAAAAAAAAAGAAAGAAAAAAGCCCTTACGAGCTAGGTCTCCACTGTCCATATTTCTCTTGGCATTCTAGTCTTTCATACTCCCATTAGGCTCTGCTTGGAGTTCTTCTACATTCTACATTCTAGCTTGGAGTTCTTCTACATTCTACATTCTAGCTTGGAGTTCTTCTGCATTCTACATTCTAGCTTGGAGTTCTTCTCTACATTCTACATTCTAGCTTGGAGTTCTTCTACATTCTACATTCTAGCTTGGAGTTCTTCTACATTTTACATTCTAGCTTGGAGTTCTTCTACATTCTACATTCTAGCTTGGAGTTCTTCTACATTCTACATTCTAGCTTGGAGCTCTTCTAAATTCTACATTCTAGTGTGGAGTTCTTCTACATTCCTCCTGCAAATGATACAAAAGCCTACAAGTCATGTGGTGAGGTTTATCATAGGAGCCCACTCCTTGATACCAATTTCTGTGTTAGTTTTTTCTCTCACTGCTCTGACAAAATACCCAACAAAAGTAACTTAAGGAAGGTTTGCTTTGGCTCACAGTTTGAGAGCACATCCATCGTGGGAGGGAAGCCTGCTGTGGCTAGTGACAGGAAAAAGAGAAATGAATGAGGGCACTCTGCTTGCAGAAAACGTGTTTTCTGTTCGCCTTTCAAGTTTCTCAGTATAAAATTTTAAGCTAGTCACAGAAGATGGGTCTTCTCTCCTCAGTTAAATCACTCTGGCAACCCTCTCATGGACACATCCAGAAATGTGTCATCTAGGGGACTCTCAATCCAGTCAAACTGATAGTCAAGATCCCATGGTTTTAAGTTTTTAAAATCAACTTCTGAAAAAACCGGAAGCACAATCTTAAAACAAATCTGAATTTGAATTTCAATGTCAACAGTAGCAAACATCAGACAACTTATTTACGATTTGAACTCTTTAATATAAAAAAATAAAAATTATAAAGCTGTGCTAGGCATAGTGGTATATGCCTTTAATCCCAAGGTTTAGGGCTAAAACCATACAAAGTCTGCAATTCATTTTCACCTGGTTTAAATAAAATTAATTTCAGGACCCAGGAGGCAGAGACAGGCAGATCTGTGTAAACTTAAAGCCAGCCTAGCCTACACAGTGAGCTCTAGACCAGCCAAAGCTAAATAGTGAGACTCTGTCTCAATCTCCTTCCCCTACAAAAAGCTGGTAAAGTTGTAACATTTAAGTAAGAAAATAAATGCACAGTATTTGGTATAGAATATGTGCAGAACTGAAGAATTAGTTCTCCTATTTTTCTCCTCCCTCCTCAAGGGGAAGCTCTATTACCCGTAGTCTCATACAGTGCTCTCCCTGCTGCACCCATTTGGTTCCCTCTGCCTGGATGCCCTTCTTTGTCACATGTAACACACTCAAATCCTCCTTCTTGTTCAAGTTCATACTTCAGTGCTACCTCTTCTCCCATCTTCCACGACTAACTATATTTCATCCATGTTACTTAATGTTTTTTCTGTCATAAGCACTGTCTCAACTGCCTGCCTGAAAAGAACACAGCTCATTTATTTTCATTCCTCCTCCTAACACAAACCACAATTTTGAACATGGTAAACTCTCAAATATTTGACAAATAATACTATTCTAGATTTCTCATTACAACTGCATATCATGTTGAATCCTTTCTAGCATTTTACAAATAAAAAGATAAACTGTCCCTATGCTGTATTCAGAATCTTAATTCTTCAGTAAGCATCAACATTTGTATCTTACTTGTTTCTTGGGTGGGGTTTTGAATGTAGCTCACGCTGTCCTCAAACTCACAGTCCTCTTGGGTTCAGGGGTTACTACTAGCATGTGTCACCATAACTTGGCTTAAAAATTTAAAAATAAATTCATAGAAGTATTTGTGTAAAACAAAAGCCATCCAAATCCAATTTTTACAAGTATTATTTTGTAAGAAAGCATATTAGTTAAACAGGAAATGTTTAAGAAATCCTCAAAATATCTATTTTATAGACATTTGGGGCAAATTAATATAGAACACAGGTCCTTGAGGCAACAACAGAACAAAAAACAAAAAACTCAGGTTCTTCTGTTCTTTATTACTAACTTAGGATTTTTCTACATGACTGGTCATTCATACAACACTATCTTTTTAAATAATGAGAACTATTTTTTGTCTTTTTAAAAATAAATTACATTGGGCATGGTGATACACTTGTATAACCCTAGCACTTAAGAGGAGGAAAAGGAATCAGGGGTTCAAGGTACATCAACTATGTCGGGAATTCAGAATCAGTCTTGGCTACATGAGACTTTGTCTAAAAAAACACAAAACCAACCAACCAATCATTCTCTATATAATTTCAAAGTTCTTTGCAATGCAGATACATAAAAGAGATGTTAATTTAGGAGTTTTAAGATAAACTTTTGGTTTTATATAACCTCAGAGTAGAGGAAACTTTATAAAACTGTATTTTGTCCTACTTACTCTATCAGTGTGTCTCACACTCTTTCTTTCCTTCCCTTGAGACAGGTATCCTTGGCTGGCCTAGAACTCAGAGAGATCCATCTACATCTGCCCCCTGAGTGCTGCGATTAACTTTCTCACACTTTCAAAAACAA